TGAGCAAGGGGAGATGCTAGCTTTGAAGGGAGAGTGATGTGAGCAGGGAGGTACCACCACTGCCATTCTGTAGCTGCCAGCCAGTCATGCCCTCTCTTCTTTTTCCAGTTACTGCTACTCCTGCCAGACCCACGTGCCTCCCCGCTGTGCTCATTGCTTCTCCTGCAGTGTTTGTGTCCTGCGGCGTGACCACCATTGCACACTATTGGGCCAGTGCTTGGGCTACCAGAACTACCGTTACTTCCTTTGCCTGCTGCTGCACGGGGCTGCTGCCCTGCTGTTTGGCTGCCTGCTGAATGCCAAGGTAGTCATGTTGCTACAACAGGAGGAAACTCCTGTCCGTACGGTCCTTCTGCTTGTTGTGCCATGGCTCATGCTACTGATAGGTAAGGTGTGTTGTTTCCAATGTTGCAATTAACCTTCTGTCCCATTTATGTCCAGACCTGGCTCACTTCTTAGGTTTGGAGATCGTTCATTCTGTCATGCAGCTGAATGCCTAAGAGCCAGTTTGGTGTAGTGGTTAAGTGCGCAGACTCTAATCTGGGAGAATCGGGTTTGATTCCCCACTCCTCCACTTGCACCTGGCTGGATGACCTTGGGCAAGCCATGGTTCTGTCAGAGGTGTTCTTGAAAAAGAGCAGTTTCTGTCAGAGCTCTCTCAGCCCCACCTACCTCACAGGGTGTCTGTTGTGGGAAGGGGAAGGGAAAGGAGTCTGTAAGCCGCTCTGAGACATCTTTGGGTAGTGAAGGGTGAGGTACAGGGGTCATTTCCTGCAGGAGCCCCGCCTTCAGGTACAAGCTCTTCCTCCTCTGTGAGGACAGATCTGCATGCCCCCCCCCCCAAATAGCTAGCAATCCAAAACAGTCCAGTGGAGCCTGAGTGGTGGGTGTTTTCTTCTGACACACTTCCGGCGATGTCAGGGTGTGTGGCATATGCAAATGAGTTATGCTAATAAGTTAAGCTAATGAGCTGCACCTCTTTTTCTACAAAATAACCCCTGGTGGGGTATAAATCCAATCTCATTTTCTTCTTCAGTTTGTCCACTATAAGATCATCTTTCCCTCGTCTTCCAGCTACCTGTCTGCGCAACATAGCTGCAGGAATCTTCGATGCCCCTTTTTCAGGGTTAGGCAGCAAGAACAGATGGACTGCTGTTCTTTAGGTTGCTGATAGACTCTGGACGTGTTAGCGAAGCAGTCTAGTTAAGACCTGAATCTCTTTATTGGACCCAGTGGAGTTTAAATGTATGTTATAAGCTGAGTCTGAACCACAGGGTAATAATGATGCAGGCCAGTCCCAATGATGTGTAAATGTACGTGTGCTGAATCCCCCCACCTTTGCAGATTAGCCTCTAAGATCCTTTCCACTCCTAGTTAGACTAGGACAAAAGTGCTTTGAGAAGGAGATGTGGAAAGAGAAGGGTCAGCAGTATTCCTTTGATACTTGGATTCACATCCTTGCTTTCTGTGTGATTCTTCTCAAGCTCTGCTCTCTGGGCCCCTGCCTGCAGAAGTCAGGTGGATGGCAACCAGAGATGGGGCTTTGTCAGTGGTGGCACCTTGCCTATGGAATGCCCTTCCCTATGAGGCTCACCAGCACCTGCTTTACTGTCCTTTAAGTCCTGGGCCAAAACATTTCTCTTTACCTAGCCATTTCATCAAAGCGTTCCTTCGTTTTTAAGCTGATTTTATGGCTACTTCTAGCCTGAGGGCTGTTTCACAGATATTTATTAATTAAAACATTTATATCCCACCTTTCCTCTTGGATCAAGGTGGCTTACAATAATAGTTGAAACACCCCAGCTAAAGCTAAATAGCAAGTCCAAAATCCCACCCCCATCCCCTGCCATTCAAACCGACTCAAAAGCCCTGGCAAACAGGCTGGCCTTGCAGCACCTCCTGAAGATCTCCTAGGAAGGGACCTGTCTCACCTGTTCTGGGAGCCCCTTCCACAGAATTGGAGCCATGATGGAAAAGGCCTGGGCTCTGGCTGATGCTAGACAGGCCACCCTAAACTATGGCTGGTGCACAGGGACATACGGAAGGAGATAGTCCTTCAAATATTGGTTCAGACTGCTTAATACTGTTTCTAATGGCTTGTATTGGCGTTGATAACTTTATGGTGATAGTATTTATGATTTTATCGTACTTGATTTTTCTTTGTGCGCCTCCTCAAGCAGGCCTCTGGGGAGGTGGCATATAAACTTTAGAAACAAATGAGTTAAAAATAAGGAGTGCCACACACTTTCTGCTCGAGACATTGTCTGGTCCAGTGTCAACACTGAAACTATCTGCTTTCATCTCCTGTCTCCCCCTCCATTTTACTCCTCTTCCTGTTGTCTATCTGATACATAATTTCAGTCTTTTCCTTTCCCTCCCCGTCTCACTTGACCAGTTTACTGCCTTGTTGATTTTGTCCAGGCCTTCCAATGTCTCCTTAATCCTACCCCTTCCCGACTTCTGGCTGCTGCCTCTCCTGTCAACCTGTCCCTGTCCCCTCCTCTGTTTCTTTCCCTTTGTATACAAGAGAGCCAGCATTACACAGTGGTTAAGAGTGTCAGAATTTGGGTGAACCAGCTTCAAATCCCCAGTCTGCCATGAAACCTCGCTTAAAGAACTTTGGTCAATCATTCTCTCTCAGCCTAACCTTCCTCACAGGATTGTTGTTGTGACTCTGAGGATAAAATGGATGAGGGGAGAATGATCTTGTAACTCACTTTGTGTCCCCATTGGAGAGAAAAGTGGGGTATAAATATCTAAAATTAACTCAAACACACTACAGTTTCACCTGTTCATAAAAAAGCCCTCTCTTGACCCATTCTTCCTCTCCGACACCCAGTGGTTTCCCTTCTACCTCTTGTCTCCAGACTTTTACACCAGGCTGCTTCTTCCCACTACCTTGACTCTCTTGACCTTTTCCAATCAGGTTCCTGCTTTCCACCTTCCACATAAGCGACCCTCACCAAAGCTGGTTTTCTTCCTGTCTAACCTCTCATTTGGTGCTTCCGTAGGGGGAAGCTATTCCTCTGCAGTCCTTTCTCCCAAAAGGATTAGATCTCTAGCCTTAAGGTCATTCTGTTTCCTTAGAAAGCCTGAGGTAAAATTTCAGAGTCAGTTAGCAGAATGGGAACTAGGGTTTCAGGAGGGATTACAGCTCATGTGGGCAAGTTTTGAACAGGGCTGTGCCTTCCACTGCTCTATACATGACCTGGATGTAAATGTTTTCATATGCAATTTTATGGTGCAAGAATCTGCTTAATTTGAAGATTCTGCAAGGCAACATGTTTTCTTGCAGCTATGGATAATCATCTTCTCTGGAATCCTCAAGAATAGCCCAGATTCCCAGCCCCCCATAGATATATATTGTGCTCCCCCAACTCTCTTTGTTTTAATGTTCTGTGGCTGAAACAACAAATGAACCCCTTGGGCTTGGAATTTTTCTCACAGGGCAAGTCAGTTTCACAACCTTCATTTATGCCTTTGTGACGGATGTCTGCATGGTGGGTTTCCTCTTCTGCACTGGATTCCTGCTCTTCCATGCCCTGCTGACATTGCGTGGACAGACAACCAAAGAATGGTTTGAAGGTGACCGCCAGTACAACTTGGGATGGTGGAGCAATCTTCAGGATGTCCTGGGAGAGCGGTGGTACCTTGTGTGGCTCTCGCCTTTTATTGCCTCTCCTTTGCCAGGGGATGGAATCACCTTCCTAACCAAGAAACCCAAATCTGAGCCACTCACCAAGTCCCGTGACTACTAAAGGTGGGTTCCACGTGCAGGCTGGGACAATTTCAAGCAAGATCCTTCTATAGTTTTGACACAAACAGGAACAGGCAATTACATGATAAAACACATGCACCTTAAACTCTCACCAAAAAGTTTATGGTGTGGCTTACAGTGATTAAATAAGATAAGAGTAAGAGTCCAGTAGCACCTTAAAGACTAAGGTTGCGGTCACACGTGCCAGATAAAGGGGGGGGGGGAATTGAGGCTATTTCCTCCGGAGGAATTTGACCCGTAGTTGCGAGATCACACCTCCCTTTGAAGCTGTGGGCACAGCCTGTCAGTGTGTGATCAGGTGCAACTGCGGGTGAGTTGTTTTTTTTTTTTTTGCTGTTTGTTTCCCAAGTGCTTAAACAAGGAATCGATGAATTGCACCTCCGCACTGAGGGCTCCCTATGGAGTTTGTGATGATGCGCATACTGAGAAAGGGGGGGAACGGCATGGAGTTGGGATGGCCTGATCCAACCATCCCGATGGCATGAGAGCACACTGGAGCGATCAGACAGGGGGAAATCTGTCTGTGGCTCGTTGCAACCCGTTTACTACCAGATTTCCCCCAGTGTCTTTTAACTCCACTTCTGTGGCAGAGCAGAATAGGTTGCCGATGGCTGCAGGACGCTTCCCAGATGTTGCTGTCTGATCGCTCCCCTTAAATCTGCCCAGCATTCGCGCTGTGTCAGGTCTAATTGTGCGTACGATTGTAGCCTAACAGGATTTGTGGTAAGGTATGAGCTTTTGTGAGTCAGGGCTCACTTCTTATCTGCAGAAGTGAGCAGTGACTCCCGAAAGCTCATACCCTACCACAAATCCTGTTGGTATTTAAGGTGCTACTGGACTCTTTTATGCTGCTACGGACAGACTATCATGGTTACCCATCTTGATATAAATAAGATACAAATAGTTTTTTTAAAAGCTAGCAGTTGTGTAAAATGAGCAATGAATCGTACAGCACCAGAAAGTTACACTTTAAAACTGAAGCAATAACAATAGCAATAAATACCAATGTAGTGGCAGAGCAAATAAAAATTACCAGTACAAAAAATTACCAAAAAACCCCACCCCCCACGACCAATACAAACAAGAACAGGCTGAACACACAGGGCAAAAAACCAAAGAGCCAGCCATCAGCAAACGGAACATATGCATGAAGCTTGCCTTATACTGAGTCAGACCATTGGTCTATCAAAAAGTTAGTGTTGCCAAGCAGACTGGTAGCGGCTCACCGGGGTGTCAGGTAGAGGTTGTACCACCTGATCCTGTTCCAGAGATGAGATGTACAACAGACAGAGTCTTCTTTCATTTCACTGCCCACCATGCCTCTGAAAACGAGGGCACAAAGATCATTGAAGACATGTGTACATACATATATGTATGCATAGATTAGTGAGGCAGATCTCAGTCTGAATGCAATGACTGCTCCAAGAGGGAGTTAGGGTTGCTGCACTTTCAATGCTCCCTACTTGTCCCCCTAAGTTTGTGTTAAAGACTCTTGATTTAAGAACTCCTTTGTTCTCTAATTCCCTGTAGTTCTGGAGCAAAGAGCTGTGGGACAGGAAATCCATAGTTTGTTTGTTTATTTTATTGAATTTATATCCTGCTCTCCCCACAAGTAGGCTCAGGCCTCAAATGAGCAACAAACTCATCTGGCCTACCTTACAAGATTTTTGATCATTTGCCAAGCCACTCTCTAAAATAGGCCAATGATCAAACAGTCTTGTAAGGTAGGCCAGTAAGTATTACTGAGACAATGCATGTCTCAGTATTCAGAGGAAATGCTTCTTACTAGGCGCATGTGCACCTCCTGCACTGTTTGTCCATCTTGAAAGAGAATATGATGTGAGTCTTTGTAACTGTCGAGTTTACTACCTGCACATCTGGCAACCAGCTTCAGGAAGCAGTGGTATGGCAATAGCAGATCAGGCTATTTCCTCCTTTCATTCCAGCATACATCATATCGGCAAGTAAGGCTGAAATTGGCTTTCAGTTTCTTTTTGTAGAAAAGAGCATAGACTCTTTTAAGTAGTCTTTGTGGAAATTTGTTCATTGTAAATTAGCAGATTGGGTTCCAAATTAGGGACACAAACTGAAAAGGGGGGGGGGAGAGTGCTTAACCCAAAACAAATTGAATTAAATACCTAAAAGTAAGAAAACATACAGGTCAAATAATACTTTTAAGTCAATTTAAAAATTAACAAATATATGAAAATACCTGTATTTATTTCAAATTATTAAAAACAAATATTGGCCCTTAAAATAGTCTCAGTGATCACTGATCATCTGTACTGGCATCCAAAAGTGACAGTTATTGACCCTGACCAGATGTGTTTTGGCCCAATTGGCCTTCCTCAGTGATCGAACTAACAACATTCCAACATGACTGTTGTCAAAATTTAACATGCATACGTCGTAAACTGACCAAGATGAAATTATTCCTAGAGGAGAAAGGAAAAGAAGAAGAAGAAATTTTTCTTTTGTAAATATAAGAAATTATAAATTGAAACGTCATTTGCTTGGAAAAATACGTGTTGTCAGTATATTATATGTTTATGTTTTCTTAACCTTTAGGTATTTAATTGCAAAATTAGGGAACCAGCAGCCAGCATAAATAGTTGTGTGACACAACAGAAAAGGCTACTTTGTCAAGCCTCTTTGTATGTTGCCAGTGCAAAAGATGCTTTCTCTCAGGCCTCAAGGTGGAGGCTAGACACTATAGTTAGAGAATCCAGTTTGGCCATGAAAGTGCTTGACTTGACACATCCACTCTCTTCTTCCAGGTTTCTTTTTTGCTGCTTACCAGGGACATTCTGGCTGGTGTGAAAAACTGATGGCTGCCCCCACTGCCTGCCTTTGATCAAAACTGTAGATGACTTTACTGTGGAACTCTCAATATACTGCTCCATCTGCTTTGGCCACTTTTCCCTCCACAGAGATGCTTCTTTGGTGTTTGAAGTGGTTAGCTTAACTGATTGGGAAGGAAGACAATATGGGTAATGTCCTTCTGGGCCTACTTCTTCTGGACTTTTGTCATCTCTGCCCAACGTTGGGGGGGGACCAAATTTCTTTGCCCTCTTAGTGCTTTTCCATTAGCTGTTTAGTGCTCAATGTCCTCTCCCCCTTATTCTCTTAGGCAGTAAGGAACATTCAGCAGTTGGAAATATCATGGAAGAGCTATATCAGCTTGGTGAGGAACTACCAGATCGGTAGTAATAGTGGAGATTTTGTCTGATGGTCTCTTTTCTTTCCCCTCTGCAACAGTTGTGGGGTTGGGTCCCTGGAGAATGTACAGAACACATCTGTCGAAGTTAACAGAGCTTGGGCTAGCGCATCATGAGGTTCTGCAAGTGCAGTATGTTGGAGTTCTGGTGATTTTTGTTTACTCGCCTCCTTTAAGATTTTACCAGTTGCCTCACAATAGTTGGCTGCTGCAGTTCTCTGCATTGATGACCTGGGGTCTTTTCATATGTGGCTTCCTCAATATTCATTGCCTGTTTACTGCTCACATTCCCCACTAAGTCTTTAAAATGCTTCCCACCAAATCCGGTCACTACTGATATTGTAAATCTTTGGAGGTAAGCTCCTACTCTGGACTGCTACAAGGCCAGCAGGATTGGGATGCAGAGAGGATTCTGGTGCCTCACTGTGTTAAGTCTAATTATGATGTTGCCTTATATAGAAAGTCAAACCATTGGTCCCTCTAGCCCATGTGGTGGCTCATGAGATCCTGGGTACTGAATCAAACACATTTTGCACAGAGGGCAGGTTAATGACCCTTCCTTTTCCCGTAAGATGGGAAACATTTATCTAAAATTGTACACTGAACAGGGCACTACGGGCATGCAGCAGTAGAAAGGAGCAATGGTGTTCTGAGAACTTCAGCAGACTCTCAGAATAGCAACAAATCCACAAACCTGCTTTTCCCAGAAAATCTCTTAGCAACTCTCCAAGGGAGGCCTGGGAAATGTTGTCAGCCCACGCACTTTGTGAGTAGTTGTAACTTCTTTGTACCTTCAGCAGTAAGTCGGCATACAGTGCTAACAAATCAAAAAGAGCTGGGGAGAGGCTTGGCAACACCACCAGGCTCTGGCGATATCCACCCGTTCCATGGCACTGAGGAGTCGACTCAGCCAAACTCAGTGCAAATCTCTTCTTATCCATGAACCCCACAGGGTGGCTTTGGGCAAGCTACTGTTTTAGCTGTTTCAGGTTTTTATTTGAGATCTTGACCAGCGTTGTGAGGTTGTTGTATGGGTATAAAAACATTGTGCACATTAAAATGCTATTTAAACTACAATCTTGTTGCGCCTTTTTTCTACAAGAACATACAAGTAGCGGTTTCCGGTTGATGGCGGCACGCTAGACAGACGCATCTCCCGGACCTCCCGGGGATGAGGTCTGTACACGGCGGGAAGGAGGGGGAGTGCTGGCCCGTTACCCCCCAGGGAGCCTGGCGGAAGGCTCCTAGCCAGGGGACTTACGAGGAGTCGCCTCTTTGCCTACACGTTGTGGGTGAATTGAGGCGCTCCTCCGTCCCAATGGTCCTTCCTGCGCAGTGCCCAAATGGGACCTAGTGATGCTGACCGGGGCAAGCGTGGGAGATCGAGAGGATGAAATGAAGTAAAGCGGGGTCGAAAGCAATGTTTCCTCTAAGCTGTGGAGTCTTGTGAGCCAAAATTCAACTTTGTGAGCTACTGGCATTAAAGTTGTGAGCGAGCAACTTGGCTACTGCATGAGTTTGCTCTGGAGCCTTCCTTCCTGGGCTAAGACAAAAATGTGTGAGCCAGAGGCTAAAAAACTGTGAGCTAGCTCACACCAACTCAGCTTAGAGGGAACACTGGTCGAAAGACCAGATATGAACGTGAGTCTGACTGAGCGAAACTACGGTTAAAGAGAAAAAGAAAGCTCCCTACCCCATGTTGAAAAACGGAAAGTGAAGCGGGCGGGGGAGGGACGCCTCCTAACCGCATGAACTTTTGAGCGAATCGAGGGGGGGAGCAGAAGAGAAGGCATGCATAACTGTTAAGAAATACTTACCAAGGCGAGTTCAGGCATTTGAGCGCATATTCAGAGACTTTCAAAATATTTTTCAAAGTAAACAACTGAGAAAGATGGGGAAGAGGACGGAGAAAGAAAAACTTTCAAAATTGAATCTAACGGAGAGCCCTAAACCGGAAGGAGCTAACGAGCTGGCAAAGACTTTGGCAGAATCCATGCGCCCTCTACTGGACCAAATGAGTAACCTCAAGGATCAGATGTCGAAAATGACTCAGTGCATCACCACACAGCAGACACAGATAACAGAGACACTTAAAATGATGAATGAAACGGCTGAAAAGGGGAAAGAAGTGGATGCCACTGCACAAAAGGTGAAAAAGGAAGTTCAAAAGCTGGAAAAGAAGCAAGTTTCTACAGAAGATCAACTGCTACAATTACAAATGGAAAAGGCTAATATGATCCTTCGCTTCCAGGGCTTGCCAGAGACAAAGGAAGAGAATCTTAAGGAACTAATGAGTGAAGTATTGGCCCCAGTGACAGATATGAAGGCGGAACTCTTGTTAAACGAAATGGATGTGGCCTATAGGTCATATTCAGGATATATAAAGAAAAACAATCTGCCTGGGGAAATTGTGGTAAGATTCTCGAAGAGGCATGTGAGGGATACAATCCTGAAAGCAGTATCTGGAGCACCCCTGAAAGTGGGGGAGAATACCATCAGGACGTTAAAAAGACATTCCATTTGAAATAAGACAAAGGAGAAAGAAATATAAAGAATTAATTCTTTTTCTACAGACAAATGCAATTGGATATAGATGGTTAACTCCAGAATGCGTAACCTTCAAAATCAAGGATAAAAAAAAGAAAAGATTGACTCTGTCCAGAAAGCACGGGAATTTTTAAGAGTCCAGATGGGAGGGCCAGGGAAGGAAGGAGAAAAAGGGGAGGACGGTAAGTCCAATGGCGAGCTGGACTCGGAATCCTCCGGGGAGGACTCTCTATCAGAGAAAGGGGCAGCAGCCCCTAAAAATCCTTATAAGCTTCGGAAGAGACGAGGCAAGGAGAAGTAAAGGCTGAAGGACTCTGAATTGTGCCTTTAAAAAATGTTGAAGTAAGATGCTTTGGGGTGTTTCTGTATGACAGTTAAACTTAAGATTTGAAAAAGATAATGTTAAACTCGACTCAGTTGATAGTAAGATTAACGGGATTAAGACTAAATGCATGGTTAAGGTGGTGGGATGATCTCATCTCTTGGGTTTTTAGTCAGTAGTGGGTATCTTTCTTTATCCTATAAATGCAGTCCCCCCTCCCATTTTCTGTTATAGTTTGTAGTGTTATTAAAAAAGCAATAAAAAATCCCCTTCGGGGGCTTAAAAAAAAAAAGAACATACAAGTAGCCTTGTTTAATCAGAACAAGATCCTTCTACTCCAGCATTGCATTTCTGATTACTGTCACATGTTCTACATTTCTGGGGGAAATAGGGTTGCCAAGTCCATCTTCCACCCCCAGCGGGGGACTTTGGGGGACCCCCAGGGGGGGACTTTGGGGGCATGCCTGGAGGGGGTGGGGCATCCCCAACATGATGATGTCACATTGGGGACATCCGCCGCCGCCCCCCCGCCCGTGCGTCGGATCTCCAGAAACGGCAGTTCCCTGCCCTTAAGGGAGCCGGTGTTTTCCTTTTAAATGCAGGAGCTGGCGTTTCCCCTTTAAGAGCAGCCGCGTTTCACTTTTAAGAGCACGAAGCTGGCACTCCGGGCTTGGGAGGAAACACAGACTTTGGAGGAAACATGGGTTCCACACACTTAAAGGGAGAGAGAGGGGTGGGTGAGGGTGTTGGGGGTGGGGCTTCCCCCGCCGGCCATCTGGCCGGAGGGCAAGTAACCCCCCCCCCAAAAAAACAGGGGACCCTTGGCAAACCGGGGGGTTTGGCAACCCTAGGGGGAAAGCCCCACTGCTGTTGTGCTTCATCTGTAGCCGCAACAGAGAAACCATGCAAGCCCATCCCCCTGTACACAACATTTAACTTTGATCAACTTGATCAAATTTTTAAAAGGCATCCAATAATGGAGTTCGTGATAATAAGGGTTAGTTACAGAACTCCAAATTAACCTCACAAAGGCCTTACAAATAGAGCAGGGAGCTACAGTATTTCTGAATGTGGGAAAGTTCAGGCTGAGGCCCATATCTTTGGACAATATTATTCTAGCCACTGCTGAAAAGTTTCCATACTGAAGAGCTGGCTCATATGGCTTGCTTCAACCTAAGGATCTGTATATTACTTCTACTACTTTACATCATTTCATGGCTGGTGTACAGTGTCAATTCTGGGGTTTAGGCCTAACTGAAGCACTGCCACCAGAGTTGCCATGACAACTGCCTGGTAGAGGAAGCCATGTTTTATTCCCAGAAGCCACTCCTCCCTAACAAGGCCTGTTCTGGAAGTGGGCCTGTTACTGTGGTAACCAGAAAGCAGCTAGGCCAGTTCCATGTTGTGGGTGCCATGCTAAACCCTCATCGTCAGTCAGTGCTGACCAACACATGCATCAAACCCTCTGGGGACCCCCTTAACCGGACACCTGGCACCATCTATGAGCCAAAAGGGCAAGTCCGGCTCTTGGGGCTACTTTCTGAGAGCTCCACTTCCCCTCAGGTAGATTGGAACAGCCTGCTTGGAACTGCTTGCCGCCATAACTGGAGAGCCACATATCAACCTTCTCAATTATGCTTCATAGCCCTACTGTGTTTTATCACAGCAGACACCGTATATTATATAGAAAGAATCTGGGTAGGAGGCTTACAGTATATGGGCAAGGGGATGGGGCAGGGGGTTATGACGATTCACCATATAGCTTCAACCTGGTTTTATGACATGTATCCAAGTACTAACCAGGGCTCAACTTCCAAGATCTGACGAGACTGGCCTATCCAGGTCAGGGTATTCTAGTGCAGGGGAATTGGGTATGAAGTTGACATGTTGGATATTTCTTTGCATTTCTGTGGATAAGTCACTGTGGTGTGGTGTAGTGGTTAGTATTGGACTACAGCCTGGGAAGCCCAGGTTTGAATCCCCATTCTATCATGGAAGCTTGCTGGGTGACCTTGGGCTAGTCACAGACTTAGCCTAACCTACCTAATAGAGTTGTTGTGTGGTTAAAACAGAAGAGAATAAGCGTGTCTGGGTCCCCACTGGGGAGAAGAAAAGTGAATAAGTAATAAAATGTAAGAAGTGATAAAAATATAGAATGTGGGTTTTGTTTGCTGATAAAGATAAGCTGTGGGTGATAACATGCCTCCTCTATTGTATGACCACTGGAGCTATAAGTAATTGGCTACTGGTGAACTACACGGAGGGTTACAGGATTATTGATATCTTGGGGCCACGCTAAAAAAGAATGACCCCAAGTGGCTATTTGGGTATATCCAGCCTCTTGCCATTTGCAATATTCTTAATTGTTTTGGGGCGGGGGAGGGAATGGGAAGGACCTTGGAGCATAAGGACCCCTTCCTTCTGGAATGTATTACTGTCGGCAAGTGAGTAGGGAGGCAAAGGAACACTATGTGCTCAGAGGAGGTCTGCAACAGAAATTACTCACGGATGAGGTTTCACTCAGAATTGGCTTGAATCCTTGCATTCAATAAAGATTCTGAAGTAAGCCCTAACTCAAATTTAAACTCTGACAGAGCCCTGGAAAATGCTTCTGTGCAACAGTGAAACAGGTCCCTTTAAGCCTGTGTGGAGTGAATATTCTCCTGTACTGAGTAAACAGTAGCCCCCAACATGCATTTGGAGAATAGTCCCTTGGAGGAAGGGTGGGATAAAAAATTAATAAACATTCTCAAAAATTATCACAGATATCATTGAAACAACCCAGTAAGGCAGACCCAGTGTTGTTATCCCTACACTGCAGATATGAGGCATAGGCCACCTGACAGGTTCATAGGTGAGGTGAGATTTGAACCAGAGGCTTCTCAGCTCACATATTTTAGCCGCTATTCTACACCTGGGACTTTTCAGTACCTTCAAAGAATGCTTAGGCTTGCTAGGACTCTGTTGAACCTTCAGGCATAGAAGCAACTAGTTTGATAAACGCATGTTCTCAGTGTTTGACTTGTATTAGGCTGATGTTAGCTTTTAACACAGTTGCGGGTAGTTTGAAGCACATTTCCCCTTGGTGCATTCATGCACACATTTCTTTTGCTTTCATTACACCATACTATCTGATAACATATGTAACACACTTTGAACATTAAAGAAAGCAATATACATGATATGTAATAGTCATCAACAGTGTTCCCTCTAAGCTGAGTTAGAGTGAGCTAGCTCACAGTTTTTTAGCCTCTGGCTCACGCATTTTTGTCTGAGCTCAGGAAGGATGGCTCCAGAGCAAACTAATTTATGCAGTAGCCAAAAAACTTGCTCACAATTCTAATGCCAGTAGCTCACGAAGTGGGATTTTTGCTCACAGGACTCCACAGCTTAGAGGGAACATTGGTCATCAATGCTATTCTTCTTTGCTTTGTCTTCATGCTATCCCATACTTTCCCCACCTCTAGCACCCCCCCCCCATCCCCTTTCAAAGCCAAAGCTGCAACACAGCTCAGCTGGGGGTGTGGGGGAGCCTGCTAAACAGCAAAATGCCATTTTGAAAGTCGAGTTAAGCTCCACCTTCTCCCTACATTGGTTGTGGGTGAAGCTTTCATATGGCAGCTCTACCTGGAGCCAGCCTTATTTCCATGTTTAAAACTGGATCAAAGGAGAATTTCTTTTGATCTGATTTATACAAGAGAGCCTAGGGAACCCCTGGGTTGTGTCTGAAAGCTCCCAAAAATGCAGGGGCATGCTCTTCTCCTTTGGGGGTAAAAACCCTCATGTGGAAACAAGAAAGCATGAATAGCACATGGTGGGCTAGCTCTAGCTGGTGGTTGAGGGACATGGAGGACATCTTCCTCACCAGGCATCCTGTTCAACAGTGGTCAAATCTTCACTGTTTCTACTGCTGGACTCTTGAAACAGATTAGGGATTCTGTTGGTGTGCTGGCTACCCACCCCGTTCCTTAAGAGGCTCCTTGCCACAGCTGACAAGACTAGTCTCAGCACTGATGCTGGAGGTTCCCAGGTTTGTCATTTTGGGGGGCTTCAACATCCATACTGGGGCTGTGATATTTTCATTTTTAGTTTGATTGTTGTTTTTGTGTTGTTGTACTGTCTTGAGATACATTTTTACATTTAAGTTGGCTTGGGCATTTTATGGAAAGGCAGCCTAGAGACATTTCAAGGTGAGGGAATCTGAGTAAAGTGAGTAAGCTTCATGGCTGACCAAGGATTTTGATTGATTTCCGTTATAAATCAATAAGTTCTTCTGAAATTGTGACATAACATTAGTTGTAGAGAATTTCACAAGGGCCTACTAGGAGGCCATCTACCAACACCTGTTAAAATATCACAGGACACATTGGATTACTTGTGTTTAATGCCATCTTGTTTTAATTGTTTAATTGTTTAACTGGTTTATATCTTAAGAACATAAGAGAAACCAATGTTGGATCAGGCGAATGGCCCATCCAGTCCAACACTCTGTCACACAGTGGCCAAAAATACCAGGTGCCATCAGGAGGTCCAGCAGTGGGGCCAGGACACTAGAAGCCCTCCCACTGCTGCCCCTCCGGGCATCAAGAATACAGAGCATCACTTGCCCCAGACTGAGAGTTCCTATCTATACCTTGTGGCTAATAGCCACTGATGGACCTCTGCTCCATATGTTTATCTAATTCCCTCTTGAAGCCGTCTTGGTTTTATTAGTTTTATTATGTTGTGAGCCGCCCTGAGCCCATCCGTGGGGTAGGGTGGGATAGAAGTTAAATAAATAAATAAATAGAATGACATATTTTATTGATTTATTTAGTACATTTTTATCTCAGCCTTCCTCCAAGGAGCTCAGGGATGTGTACATCATTCTCCCTTCCTCCTATTCTCTTCATGACAACCCTGTGAAATAATTTATTTTATTTTACTAACTTCATTTATACCCCACCTTTCTTTCATACAGGGAGCCAAAGCACCTGACATAGTTCTTCTCTCCCCTATTTTATCCTCCAATAACCCTGTGAGGTTCCTGCCAACCTAGCAGTTCGAAAGCAAGAAATTGCAAGTAGATAAATAGGTACTGCTTCGGTGGGAAGGTAACAGCATTCCGTGCACCTTGGCATTTAGTCATGCCGGCCACATGACCATGGAAATGTCTTCGGACAGCACTGGCTCTTTGGCTTGGAAATGGAGATGAGCCTCCAACCCTAGAGTCAGATTCGACTGGCTTTCGAGCAAGGGAAACCTAACCCTGTGAGGTAGGTTAGGCTGAGACCAAGGTCATCCAGTAAGCTTCTAAGGCAGAGAGAGCAGGGATCTGAACCTTGGTCTCCCAGATCCTAGTCTAGCACTTTAACCACTATACCAAACTGACTGTACAGTGAGAACAAAAGGCTGAGAAAGAGTGGGACTGGTCCAAGGTCACCCAGCAAGATTCCTGGCAGAATGGGGACTGGAACCCGGTTTCCCTGATTCTAATCTAATATCCTAACCACTATACCATACTGGCTATACAGTGAGATATTTTACTAGCCATTCCAGCAGTGAACCGTTGACAAAACTGACCATGGAATTGCATATTATTGTGTGACAATATTATCTCTAAGCTCCACGGTGTCTGTGCACACAGGAGGACTATCTGGATGCTGGAGATGGAATGCTGATCTGTATGAAGCGACCAAACAAGAAGAGCGTCACTTCGATTGGGAAGGGCTGCTTGGAGCCTGAGAAATTAGGCGCTAATGCCACTGACACCTTAGACCCAGAGTCAGATTCCAAGCCAAGCAGGCAAGTGGTTTGGGCTGGGGGCAGAGGACAGAAGAAATGACTGTTCTTGTAATGGAGATGCTGCCAGGAATGGTACATTTGTTAAGATTTTATGCTGAAGCTCTCTCGCTGCTTGCGTTTAGCAAAGCTGATTTTAACCACTATGTGCATGAACTACGGTTTTGAAAGATCTGTTGGTAAGATTTTGTTGATCTGAGCTATCTAGCAGTTCAGGTTGAGAGTTTATTTTTCTTTTAGGATTAAATCATACAATGTTTGAAGTCTTCCTGGAATCTCTGTTTAGGATAGTGGCTCAGGTTTTGAAAGGGATATTTTAAATTTAGCTTACCAAGAATATGATTTCTTTGCTGTGTACTCGTGTGTCTGTGTGTTGCAGCTAACTTAAGACAATTCCATGGGGTTTTCAAGGCCAGAGACCAAGCAGAGGTGGTGTGCCATTACTTTCCTCCGCAGAGTCTTCCTTGGTGGTCTCCCATCCCAGGACCAACCCTGCTTAGTTTCTGAGCTCAAATGCAATCAAATTGTATTATACCATTACATATCCCCTGCTGCTTTGTACTTAGATTTGACATACTCCACTCTTTAAAAATTTACTTATTTGCTAATAACATTGTTGAGCAAATCTTAGAGAAGGCAAAACTGAATGGAGAAAAAGCAAATTAAGAAAATTGGATTTCAGAGCAGGAGGGAGATCAGGCCTGTGTCTGACTGGAGTGCTGTTTTCCCTAGGCAGCAGGAAGTACAAGAGGAGCCCACGCCCCCCACACCAGACCCCAAGGCCAGCTCCCCAAGCCCTTCAACAGCACTTGAGCCGTCTGGACAACCGCGTTCAGGATCATTTCCATTCCAATGGATGTGGGAGAGATTCTCTATCAAGGGCCAAGCCACTTACCAACACCAATCCTTAGAGAAGGCTAAGAAGAAGAATTCCTCCAAGGTTTCCAAGAGCTCTGCTTCTGAGCCTCTCAGCACATCAGAGCCAGGTTCAGGCTCCACCAGCAGGCAGGGATCCAGTGATGTTAAAGACAACTTTTGCCTGGGTGAGTGTGGAACATCAGAAGGTCCCAAGGAGCTCCGCTATAAGCATCAGAAGCGACGCCAGCTCATGGGCCCATCTCCTGGGAGTTCCCTTTTGCCTCTCTACTGGAAGATGGAGGCCCGGTCTGAGGTTCGGAAGCGCCAGCTGCGCCAGGAACGCCGGCACTGGCTCCAGCTTGCTCAGCAGTTACTGAGCCTTGAGGAACGGTCCCCCTGGAGTGAGAAGCGGCTCTCAGCCAAGCAGCTGGAAGAGAAACTGAAAGCAGAACTTCTCTGCCTAGCCACGGAGCCCGTGGAGCCCAGTCCACAAAAGGAGAAAACCAAAGGCAAGACTGCCAAAGAGGAGCCGACATTCAAACCCACCATCAACCGCAAGATCCCCGATTTCAAGAATTTGCAGAAGCGTTTCCAAGATCAACTTGAGCACAAGAAAGATCAAGGTGGAGAGCAGGCATCGATTTGTTTTAAAAAGGAAAGGTGATGGGGTAAATCAGGGGTGATTATAATAATTCTGCACATGCCCAGAGTTACTCGCTTCCTTTAGCTATATTCACTCTCAGAGCTTGCAAGACCTGAAGTTTTTTGACAAGGTTTTAAAGAACAATATGGCTATGAAAGTTTAATAATTTAAAAAAAAAAATTAAAGAAAGAACAATATGGCTAAACCTGAGCCACTAGACACCTCAGAGGAAAGCTCTTACTAGCCGAATTTGGAATACTGTGCCCAGTTCTCATTGCCCCATTTCAAAAAGGATATGGTAGCTTGAAGAGGTGCAGCAAAGGTAATAGGGGTGAAGACTGTTTGGCCAGCTGTAGTGATGATTGGGGCAGACCTGCATTTGAAGCCACAAGTCTGTCCACTGTCATGTTCAGCTTGGGATCATTGAATTTTCAATAAGTTGTCCACCGGCCCAAGATGTCTTTCCCTGCATAGTCACAACCAGTTAAGGCCTTATTGGTGACTTTTTGGGAAAGAGTTTTTCCAGAGGGGTAGCTATATTAGTCTATTGTAGCACACTAAAACAGAAGTCCAATGGTACCTTAAAGATTAACAATATGTATTCCAGTATGAACTTCTGTGAAACAGAGCTCACTTCCTTGGGGTACAATGGAAAGAAAGAAAATTATTTACCTTATTTTTAAAAAGTTTCAGAATGGTGGGAGAAAAGGGGAGGAGTTGAGCAAAGAAAGGCCTGGTATAGTAAGTCAAGTGTGATTCTTTAGTTATACACAGCGGATGATGAGAGGAGTCAGAGATTCTAGTAGCCCTCTCGTGCTGTGAAAATAAACAGAAGTGCAATAAAATTGGGTAAATAACAAGCTGATTAAGGAAGTGGCATGTCGCACTTGGAACTCATGTACATGGGATGTTTCTTACTATTCTGCTCAGCTAAGCATGGCATATCCAAGTGGTATATCCCTCCCATGCAAGAACCTCCTTTACCAACAGGATGCACCTTGTGCTACCAAAAAATGTTTAGCACCAATGGAATGTCCCTTCCATAGCTGAACAAAAAACTAGGAAACAACCTTGTAGATCTTCGGACTATCATTTCCATATGTGTTATTTTGTTGCTTGTGTGCCTGTATTGCATCAGGATTTCCCCCCTCCTTTTCTGCACATGTTTAGCTCCCTCTAGTGGTCGTTTTGATATTTCATTGCTGTATCATCAGCTTATTCCCAAGCACTTTCAAAGCGCAAGGAAATAAGATGGAGATGCACAGATGAATTATCAAAGTGACCACTAGAGGGAGCAAAAATTAGTTTTAGGTTGATGAAAAGGATAGGCAGCCCATCTTTTTCTCTACTGGAGCTAATAGTCATTGTGGGGGAGGGAATTGCTATCTGGCAAATATGTGACTTGGTATACCTTTAGCTGGATCAGGTATGGGCTGGCTGAGTGACTTACAGGAAGCCTTTCTTCATCTGCATTTATCCTAATTCCTCTAGCTCAAAGAATATCTTCCCTTGGCCAACCTATGGGGCAGAGCAGCCAGACCCCATTCTTAAATCTTACCTATTTTGCAATTTGGACTGCTAGTTTGTAAGACCATTGATTGGAGCAACTTGCTCCTTCACCCAGAAGCCAATCAGCAGGCATCTAGATTAGATTAAAAAAAAAACAGATTGGAATAATGAACACTCTGCAACAGCATAACATAGTGTTAATAAGCTGATTTTAAAATTTGTACCCCTCTTCCTCCCTTTGTTCAAATATAAAATCTAAAACACCTTAAATAGAACAATTGTAATAGTGCTTTTTAATATGAATTTGTCTGTCAGTGTCATCAAAGTGAATGAGTATATTAAAATCTACATCCCAAGTTCCTTAGCTGTTCTTGGGGGAGCCCCTTTGAGGGAGTCTCAGCCTTCCCTCCAGATATGGGAACCTCTGAAGATGTTGGAGGCCCCCTACCTCTGCCCCTTATTAATATCTATTTTCTTCTGTCCTGCCCAGCAAAGGTCACCATCTGTAAGCCTTTCCACCTTACCTCCGTCGGCAGCTCCCAAACATTCTCTGGGGACGAGGAGAAGCAGGATCAAGAAGACCCTTTTTACGAGGTTGGCAACATCTGGAGAGATCACTGGAGGGCCCAGTCTTGCCCAGACTTTGGCCCTCCTAGTGTTCATCCAGTGATGCACACCAAGGCCTCTGATAAGCGGCAGGAGGCCAACAGGTAAGCACGAGCTGCTTCAGTCCAACCTAGTAAGGCAAAATATATCCCATTATAATATTCCTTGTTCCATTCCTTTCCACAGTCTTGTAAGGAACACTGAAAATCTGTGGTGCTGGAAGTTGGAGCAGGATGGCAAATTTAAAATAAATTGTTATGGTCCTTGTTCTTCCCCGTCCCTCATGTGCAAAATAAGAGAGCATTTAAATACTACCGGTCTCCATTGGTCCTTTCCAATAATAAAATAATTCTGAAAAATCCAAGATGTTTAGTAAGATACCTCAAGGGTCCTCTCGGGCCTTTCATCACTTATTTATCATTCTAAAACTCAGTGGCCCAGGGGGTGATTCCAGTTCCTGGTGGCTGGATTGAATTACTTGTTATGTCAACTAAGCCCTCCAAACAATCCTGCTGTACTTTAGTGCTGGCAGAACGGAGTACATGGCAATGGTTGCAGCCAGCTTGGCAGTGGAGTGTGAGGGAAAAAGGGAAAATCTGCTTTGGAACGATCAGTTTGAAAGATTACAGCCAAAGTGTGTTTGTGGATAGGAAGGTGCAGATTGTTTCAGGTACCAGCCACATCCATTCTCCCATCCCAAGCTTTTTCATTTTAAATCAGTAATTGGCATATTATTGCTATGGTGTTATAATGCTATGGGGGGACACACAAAACTAGGGGGGGAAATCCCATCTCCCCCCCCCCCCTAGGCTAAGGCGGCACAAGTCCAGCCCAGCCCTGCCACAGTGGCAGTGGTGTCTGGAAGCCGCTTCAGGTGGCCCCCTGGCACCTGCTGCATCTGCAGCTAGCTTCCAGCATTCACTACTGTGGCTGGGCCACAAGTGGCTCCCAGTGTTTGCCGTCATGACCAGTCCCAGAGCAGCTCCTGGAGTCTGCCGCCAGGCTTGCCACACCTCCCAGTCACCACCACAGAAGCAAGGTAAGTGCATTGTCTGCACGTGCACAAACAATGCCTTTTATTTTTTATTTTAATTTGAGGGGAATTTAAACATTTCAGATTTTTCTGGGGAGTCCCCCAAGTTTGCAGAAAAACCTGTTTAGCATCCATGTGGCCCCAATCTGCAGATTTAGGTATCTGCACATGGTGGCCACACATCGCTATTAGATATATAGTTAGCAATCTGTCATAGCAATTTTAAAGCCCTTTGGTTGGGGGGGATGGCAGCAACCAGGGGGTGGGTGGGGGCTGAGGTAAGGAAAGTGTGGGTAAAAAACACTATGTGGATGCTCCATTCCCAACGTGAGTGCCTCTGCATTCACAGCAGCAATGATAACCACACAGAGGACCATGTGAAAACACCCATAGTCCATCTTGAATAAATCTCTAGGACAGACTAAAGCTGTAATGATGAGGTGAGCATGGTGTGGCACTTTTACATGGTGTGGCACTTTACATGCTAGGTGATGGAACACGCCCCCCCCCCCCCCCGTGTATCTGTCTCTGAGTTCAGGGGTCATTCCAGGGAAATTAAAAGAGGCAGTGGTGAGGCCACTCTTAAAGAAACCATCTTTAGATCCTACTGATCCATCCAACTACTGCCCAGTACCAAGGTAATCGTTCCTAGGCAAAGTAGCTGAGAGAACGACAGCAGAACAGCTCCAGGTTTTCCTATGAGACACTTCAGCCCTGGATCCATTCCAATCTGGTTTTCGCCCCAGCCATGGGACAGAGAGAGCACTGGTCGCCCTCACAGATGAGCTCTGTAGGCAGCTGGATCAAGGCGGGTCACCACTACTGTTATTACTTTATTTGACAGCAGTGTTTGACATGGTCAATTATGATCTGTTGATCCACCACCTTGCTGATATGGGGATCTGTGGTTCAGCCTTGAGGTTTTTGTCTCATTTGTCCAAGGTCAGGAACAGAGAGTGGTGCTGGGGGAGAGGGTCACGCCATGATACTCTTTGGTGTGTGGTGTCCCCCCAACAGGCAATCCTTTCCCCAATGTTATTTAACATCTATATGTGCCCCCTCGTCCAGCTGATATGGAGTTTTGGGCTGGGCTGTCACCCGTATGCAGATGACACCCAGCTGTATCTGTTGATGGCCAGCTGAATACTGCCCAGGATATTTTGGCCAAGGGTTTGGAGGCTGTGGTTGGTTGGTTGAAACAAAGCCGGCTGAAATTAAATCCATCTGAGATTCTGTGGCTGGGCCGGGGAAATTTGGGGTTAGGTTGCCAACTCCCCGCTCTTGGCGATGTGCCTTTAACACCAGTGCCAACCATCAGAAGCCTGGGTGTGATTCTGGATGCCTCCCTTTCTGTGGAAGCCCGGGTCACAAATGTGGCCAGACTAGCATTTTTCCATCTGCGCCAGGTCACACAATTGGTTCCCTTCCCATCTTGCCCTGACACAGCCACAGTGAATCATACAATGGTCACCTCCAGAGTAGACTACTGTAACCTGCTCTACGCCAGGCTACTCTTGAGGCTGACCCAGAAATTGCAACTGGTCCAGAATGTGATGGCACATGGTCTCATGAGGACTTTGTTCAGAGCCCACATTCAACTGGTGCTCCACCAGCTGCACTGGCTTCAGGTTGAATACCAGATCAGGTTCAATGTGTTTGAGCCAGTTTGGTGTAGTGGTTAAGTGTGCGGACTCTAATCTGGGAGAACCGGGTTTGATTCCCCACTCCTCCACTTGTACCTGCTGATGTGACCTTGGGTCAGTCACAAGCTCTGGCACAGCTGTCCTTGAAAAAGAGCAGTTTGTGTCAGAGTTCTCTCAGCCCCACCCACCTCACAGGGTGTCTTGTATGGGGAGGGGAAGGGAAAGCCGCTCTGAGACTCCAAGTGAAGGGCGGGGTATAAATCCAATCTCCTCCTCTTCTTCTTCTATTAACCTTTAGAGCCCTAAACGGTCTGGGACCAGTATACCTGTGGGACTGCCTCTCCTGGTATACCCCCCAAAGAGCTTTATGCTAAGTGGATAACAACCTACTGGTGATCCTCGGCCTGAAAAGCATCTGTCTATCCTCAACCAGAACCAGGACTCTTTTAGCTCTGACTCCGACCTGGTGGAACACTCTGCCACATGAGATCTGGGCCCTCAGAGCTTGCAAGACAGAGATGTTCCGCCAGGCCTCTGGTTGAGGCAGCGATGGTCTCCATCGTAGACTGGCCTCTCTTCTCCCTCCCACCCCCCGCCCGGCCTCTGGGTTGTAATTTTCTCATCTGACTAACTGTGGGATGTTTCACCCTCCCCCTGGATAGGGGGCACAGTTGTGCTCTTTTGTGTGCCATCTGATCAGTTATTAGTATTATTGTAAACATTGTTTTAATATTTAATTGTATTGATATTGTTTTATGAATGCTGTTACCCACTCTGAGCCCTGCTGTACAGGGGATGGCAAGCTATAAATCCAATATACAAATAAATAAATACATGGAAGAAACATGATATACCAGAAGGCAGCAATATCTTTAGCAATAGTCTAGATGTTTATATTTCAAAATAACTTTTTTCACACACCTCATTTACCTTCATGTCATGCATCCAGCCCAATTCAGGCTGTTTTACTTATTAGGGCTACATTCAGGGCCAGTGTCAAGAGTTCACATTGTTGGGGGACTGCTAAGGCTAATGTTCTGTCACAGGGCCCAGGGCTCTTTTTGTAGAAAAAGCCCAGCAGGAACTCATTAGCATAATAGGCCACACCCAGCAGCAGGAACTCATTAGCATATTGGGCCACAGCCCTGACAGCACAGCTCATTCGCACATTAGGCTGCACCCACATGTTACCAGAAGTGTGGTTATCCAGCCACACCCACCTTTTGCTTGTTATTCTGTTTACCTTGTTTGTTGTCAAAACCCAGGGCCTTTTTTTGTAGGAGGAACTCCTTTGCATGTTAGGCCACACACCCCTAATGTAGCCAATCCTAATGAGTTTCTGCTGTGGGGTGTGGCCTATTATGCTAATGAGTTCCTGCTGGGCGTGGCCAATGTGGGAGCCAGCCGGAACTCTGTTCCTGTGCGTTCCTGCCCAAAAATAGCCCTGAGAGGGCCCACTGACAACTACAGACTTCCACCAGAAATATCCACACATCTTGAAAGACCCTGTGGCATTGCAGGGGTGTTTGGGGTGATGTCCCTTTCTGTGTGAGTAGGAAGACTGGAGAGAGAGCAGACTGGGACTGATTCCCCACAAGCAACTGTGCCGCCTTCTGTTTGCGATACACAAATTTAGCCCCATCCAGTCTACACGATTCAATCACTCTTCCAGCCTGACCGCTAACCTTCCTGTTTCCAGCCCACCTATCCACCCACCCTTGCCCCATGCTTGAAACCTGCATGCTGATCTCTTTTGTAGACTGCTGCTGCTGGAATGGGAACGGAGGGAACAGCAGGAGAAGTGGCGAGCCGAGCTGCGCAGGATCAAGGAACAGCAAGTGCAGCGGGAAGTGGCCAAATGCCTGGCAGCTTACCGTAGCCCAGGCCACTCTGCCATGTCAGTCCAAAAAAGGCGAGAGGAACTCCGGTAGGCTACGATGACTCCTCTCTGCCTAGTTTGCCTGTGGTCTAGAGCTCTGGTTCCTGACATGGGCTCAGCTACAGACCGTAGCAGTGCTGATGGGGTGAGGGGTGGGGATTCATTCAGCTCTTGGGTCCAGAGATGAGTAAAGTCAGACGTCGATTCGGGGGGATTGCGGGGGATCGCCGTTCTCCCGAGTGAGGTGCGGGGGAGCGGGGCACACAATGAAGCCCCGCCCCCTGCTTCCGGCCGTCCCATTTCCGGCCCTCATTCAGCCAGAAGGAGGCAGGAGAAGAGGGAGGGTAAGTTGCTTCCTCCCCGTCCCTCCCCACCCCTGCCTGCCTCCTGGTAATTGGAATGTGAATAGCCACATATTTTGTACTTCATCTATTACCAAACCTTTTTACCTGACATGGGTGGTTTGCTTGTTTTCCCCCACATGTGCCATCAGATAGGCTCGCCAGCTCTGAGTTGGCAATACCTTGGAGATTTTGGGGGTGGAGCCTGAGTGGTGGGTTTAGATTCAGAGGAATTAGCTGTGTTAGTCTGTTGCTGCAAAATAGTCCAAGAGTTCAAATAGCACCTTTAAGACTAACCTACAAAATAGTCCAAGAGTTCAAATAGCACCTTTAAGACTAACAAATAGCACCTTTAAGACTAACAAATAGCACCTTTAAGACTAACCTTTAAGACTAAGACTAACTGAGTGGTGGGTGTGGCCTTATGACACACTTCCGGTGATGTCAGGGGGTGTGGCCTTAAGACACACTTCCGGTGATGTCAGGGGGTGTGGCATATGCTAATGAGTTATGCTAATGAGTTCCCCTAGCTCTTTTTCTACTAAACGACCCCTGAGTAAAGTGTTTTTTTAACCAGCAAACATCATGCAGAGGCCCAGACACAGCCCTCTACCATAAGGTAGGCTATTGTGTTCTTGAAAGTCCCCTCCACACAAACCAATGGCTGTTTAATCAAGGAACGAGATCCCTCAGCCTCGGCCAAGGCAGTACTACGTTATGGTGTGTGTGTGTGTAAAGAGCCACCAAATTGCAGCCACTTTATGGCAACTCCATAGGGTTTTCAAGGCAAGGGATAAATGGAGGTGGTTTGCCATTGCCTCCTTCTATATAGTGCTCCTGGACTTCCTTTGTTGTCTCCCATCCAAGTGCTAAACAGGGATGACCCTGCTTAGCTTTCGACAGGGCTCTTTTTGTAGAAAAAGCCCAGCAGGAACTCGTTAGCATAACAGGCCACACCCAACAGCAGGAACTCATTAGCATATTGGGCCACACCCCTGACAGCACAGCTCATTAGCACATTAGGCCGCACCCCCATGTTACCAGAAGTGTGGTTATCCAGCCACACCCACCTTTTGCTTGTTATTCTGTTTACCTTGTTTGTTGTCAAAACCCAGGGCTTTTTTGTAGCAGGAACTCCTTTGCATGTTAGGCCACACACCCCTAATGTAGCCAATCCTAATGAGTTTCTGCTGTTGGGTGTGGCCTATTATGCTAATGAGTTCCTGCTGGGTGTGGCCAACTCGGGAGCCAGACAGATCTCCGTTCCTGTGCATTCCTGCCCACAAATAGCCCATTCCTGCCCAAAAATAGCCCTGGCTTTCGAGATCCAACAAGATCGGGCTAGCCTGGGCTATCCAGGTCAGGGCGTGATACTGTGGAATAGCTTTTTTTAAAAATCTGGCCTTTTGGGGAGGAGGAGGTTGGAGGAGTAGAAAGAAAGAAATGAGACAAAGATCTCTAACACCATTTCCTTCTTGCTGCTGCACAGGAGGCAGGAGAAGCGGCGCATGGAACAGTACTTCTTGCAGCTACAAGAGATGCAGGGCCGTGTGGAGAGCAGGCCTTACCTCTTCGAGAGAGTCATGCAGGTGAAAAGGGAAGGGGAAAGTTCAACTTCATACCATCCTGGGTAGCACGAATCAATCACCCACCACCTATCAGCCTTCCTTCAGTCAGGTTACTAAAGGAGAGCCCACCCAAGGTGCAGATGAAAGCTTGTACAAGAACTGAGTTGAACCATTTGTATGGTTTATTATTCATACACTGCCGTCATTGTACATGGCACTTGACTGCATAAGGAAAGAGGCGGGTCCCAAAGAAATTAAAGTTTGACAGTGGAAAGAGAGCAAGGAAGGAAAGGCAACAAGGAATGGATTTACCATCTAGTTTGACTGGCAACAGTTTTCCAGAGCCTCTTGATAGACATCCTTTAAATGAAAATACCAGGGGCTGAATCTCTTCCCACATGTGAATGCATATGTGTTTCTGAGCCATGTTCCCTCTTCCAAATTAATGTGAGCAACTGTGATTTGAAAAGGTTTCAGCATATCCACAGATTATCATGAAGGTAGTATAGTTATCAAAAGCTTCTCTGAGCAGATGAACACACACAGGAAGCTGCCTTACATTGAATCAAAGACTGATTTTCCACAAGTGCTGCTCCACGCTCACTCCTCCCTTTTGCCCCATGGCATGTGTCAATTTCACACAAGGTGCTGCGCAGCTGCATTTTGCCCGGACCTTCGCGCGATTTCCCCCGCGTCTACTCAAACCTAAAAAAACAGGACTATCAAGGTCAGTATTGTCTACTCAGTCTGGCAGGAGCTCTCCAGGGTCTCAGACTGCAGACTTTCACAAAACCTATGTCCTGGTTCTTTTAACTGGAAATGCCAATTGAACCTGGGACCTTCTGCATGCAAAGCAGAAGCTCTTCCACTGATCCACAGCCCCTGTCTCCTTGAAGAAAGAAAAGTCAGGACTAGTTCAGTTAAAAGAAAACTGGGACTTGCATTCCACAAAGAGCCAGATATCTGGAGCACACACAGAAAAATGGTGACTGCTTGAGCTCTTCCACAAAGAGCCTCACAGCTCTGGCTCCCAAACAGGAACAGGTTTTTTCTCAGCATACACACATCATCATCATGCATTTGTGCACTTTACAGATTTTCTCCTCCTTTGCTGTGATTTTCCCTAAAACTGCTTTGAGACAATTTTTTTTTGAAAGATCACATCCAAAGTATGTTTGCACGAATGTGGACGGGAAGGTACAGATTTTTCAGGTCCTGACCACATGGCAGCATTTGCCTCATCCGAGTTCCCCACAATTGCCACCCCCTCACACCAGAGGGCTTTTTCAGGCTTTGGGGAAAAACCAATAAGTTGATGTGTGGCTAATGAGTTATAATTCTACAGCTATATGTAAATTACCATTCTTCTAAAAAGCCCTCCAGGGGTGGAGGGATGTAGAGGTGTCCATGGGGGCCTGGGGCAAGGAAAAATGCAAGGGGAAAGGTCACGTGGAGCTTCCATTGCTGCTGCCAGCGCCTCTGCATTCGCAATAGCAATGAGAGCCACATGGAGAAGCATCACCATGTGGAAGTACTCATACATTCTGCAAAAAGAACTCTGCAGAACTGTGGATACTTTCTAGGGAGTATTCTGAGTAGCATTCGTTTTGGGGATGCTTGCACTTGCTGCCCCCCACTGGTTCTGCACATCCACCAAAGGGCATCCAAAATCTGGGCTTTTCCACACACTCGATTTATGCCTGAATTTTCTTGGCAGTCAATCCACAAGCACTGGAATCAGTTTCAGCACAGTTCTTCCGCGTGGCTGTCCTCCCTCTGCATTTTCATGCTGGTGAAGTCAGTTAATTTTCTTCTGCACATGCCTTAAATCATCAGGATTTTCAGGGAGATGGTGCTATTGTCATTGGCGGTATCACAGCACGTCCCTTTCATTTTTGCATGCTTATGTCAATATATCGCTATCATGGCTGCATTTTTTCTAAAAAATGGCACTAAAATATCAATGCACTATTGTAGTGATAGGCTTAGTAAGTTCTCTGAATTCCCAGATTTCATTAAAAAAAAAAGATCTCTAGTCCCTTCCCTTGTGGAGATATGCCTTTTTCCTTACATTTCAGCCAGGGAAAAGGGCTAGGGACTGACTTTAAAAACAAACAAAATGAAAGCTGGGGTATATTGATATATTGATATTTTAGAGCTTTTATTTAAAAATATATTTTAAAAAACTATGTGTCTTCAGGGCAGGTGGGGAGGACAGGGAGTGGTTTAACAATGACAACAGGCCAGTCATTGAAAAGTGGGCTGGAGATGGGTGGGAGTAGGCGGGACAAAGAAAACTGACAGAAACATTATGCATGAGGAAAAAGGCAACTTAAAATCAACTTCCAGAAAAAGATCAGGGTAAAGGTGGTTTCAAAAAACCCAGGGGAAAAACAACAAAAACAAAGAGAAAACTAAAGGTACAAAAATGCTTGCAGAAATCAAGGGAAAACCAAAGCAGTTTGGGGCTAGAACGAACTAAAAGAACCATGCCGAAAAGCCTTCTGTTAGCCTTTCCATATTCAGCGTCTCATTTCCAACAGATTCAGCAAAACGGCATTTCAATATCTCAAATGTAGAATATCCCAAATGTAGAAGGATGCACTCATTTCCAGTTATATCAGGGCCAGCTGTGGGGCCGTCTACCTTTGTGCTGCCTGCCATTTGAACATCCACTCAAAGTGTCTCTTCTCCTCAGGCCAATGCCCGTCAGGCCGTGGAGCGGCGTTTTTCCCAGGTTCTGACCGCTCTGGGTGTCGATGAAGAGACACTGTGGAAGCACGCTGTCCGGCAGGCTGCTAGGAAATGCTCTGCCAAGGCCAGGTAAGGCTCTGGAGAACCAAGGGACTGGGGCAAGGCCTTCTTCCCCTAGGGGTCTTCCAGCCAGGACTGTGCATTCCCCAAAAAACAAGAATGTGCGCCAATTATATTTTCACAGTGGGGGCAAATAGTCCAGAAAATGGCACACGTTTAAGGTCTAAACCCCTGGTCTCCCTGGACTATAGTCCCAGTCTGAATCGGGCTGTGCATGTCTAGGAAGTGCTTCAGAACATGTCTCTCCACATGACCTGGGAGCATCCCCATGGAAAACTTAACATTTAGCCAGGCCCTCTGGAGGTAGCAAAAATGTGCTCTCTCTGTTCCTGGACTCTTCTTCTTGTTTTTGTGGCCGGGTGGCCCTGCACAGCTGGACTGCTGCTGGGATGGGAGCCCTCTGGGAACACCATTTGCTTTTGCCTGGAGCAGCTTTCATTTCACTGTCCGACTGTGTTGCATTTCAGGTCTAAGAGAACAGAGTCTACTGATGACTTCTCAGAGCAAATCTGACAGATAGCAGAGAAAGAGAGAGATCACCATGGACAGCCATTGAACCCCAGTCTTGCAGTCATGGAACATTTGAAAATAAAGTTAGCTTTGGAAAGCAGAGAAGTCCTCTGCCTTGATATTGTGCCTGCTCTGAATAGGTGGAAAACAGGAAGTTGAAGGTGGTGTATGGTGAAAGCAAGACATTATTCTGGGCAGGAAACACAGAAAGGAGTTCTACTCAGAGTCTACATTATTATAGTAGCAGCAGGGAGAAGGGGATATGTGGAACACAACAATACCTGCAGGCACATTTCTCCTGCTTGAAGAATGAGCAAGAGCCCAGGATAGTTCACTCTGCATTCTCTGGACTTCTTTCTTTGTGTTGTGTATAGTGTCCACTGTGTATGTGCCACCTGAAAGCCCTTTTACTTCCACACCACCACAATTCTAAAGGCCAGTCTCCTTTTTTAAAATGCAAGGGCCACAAACACCAAAAACTATATGGCTGAGATCCACTCTTGTTTTAAAAGGCACAAATGTATCTCCATTCCCAATGATACATGACACCCTGGGCTCTTGGTTTATCATCAGAGCAGTGTTTTATTTTTACCCAGGTTGCTTCTTATGCAATAAAGGACCCCTTGCCCTTGTGGGGGGGGGGGAGGAGATTGGATTTATACCCCACCCTTCAGTACCCAAAGATGTCTCAGAGCAGTTTACAATCTTGTTTCCCTCCCCCTCCCCACAACAGACACCCTGTGAGGTAGGTGGGGCTGAGAGAGCTCTTTCCAGAACTGTCCTTGAGAGAACAGCTCTGACAGAACGATGGCTTGCCCAAGGTCATCCAGCCAGGTGCAAGTGGAGGAGTGGGAAATCAAACCCAGTTCTCCCAGATTAGAGTCTGCACACTTAACCACTACACCAAACTGAAGAAGAAGACATGTAAGTTTGTGGGTCAGAACTGGGCCCTAGCTTGGTAGGTAATGTTGCCAACCTCCAGGTAGGTCCTGGAGATCGTGTGAGATTGTGTCTGATCTCCAGACTATAGAGATCAGTTCCCCTGGGCAAAATGGCTGGAGGGTAGATATGGCATTATAGCCTGCTGGTGCCCATCCCCTCCCCCAATCCCACACTCCCCAGGGTCCAACCCCCTCCCCCAAATCTCCAGGAATTTCCCAACATGGAGCTGGCAGTCCTAATTAGCTGGGAGTTCCCCGTGCAGCAACACTGGAACACTGTGCTGAGCAGTGTATTTGAACCATATTTGGCCCCCAGAGCTTGTTCTGAGTACCCAGCCCACTCTGGAGCATGCAGCATGATAATGAAGATAGGAGTGTTTGTGAACACCTACTGATTGTCCAGGCCTGTAACCAGAAATTTGGTGGTGGTAATGGCCCCGGTATCCACTGGGTGGCAGTGGCAGTCAACGCAAGGCTGAAATTCTGAGTAGAAGCTTTCCTGTGCATGCACACTTCTTTAGACACAAAATAATGTTTAGACTTTCCTAATTTATTAATACCTTTAATTTAAAAAGACACAATTCAGAAACAAAGGGCCACATGTTCATCTCATCCAGAGCCTCAGCACTCACTGACCAAAATGGGAGGTTGGGAACAGGTATACTCTATTAGACAGCCAGACAGTTACTGCTCACATGTTTTGCCTTAACTTCTTAAGTACAGAAGGCAGAAAATTGTAATTTCCATTTTTTTTTAATGGCCAATTAAAGGGAGGAGCCTAGAATCTTCCTTGGGACAGCCACAGACCCCTCCCCCCTCCCTCACTGAAGAAGAAGAGGAGGAGGAGGAGGAAGAGATTGGATTTATACCCCGCCCTTCACTTGGAGTCTCAGAGCGGCTTACAAACTCCTTTCCCTTCCCCTCCCCACTACAGGTACCCTGTGAGGTGGGCGGGGCTGAGAGAGCTCTTTCCGGAACTGTCCTCGAGAGAACAGCTCTGACAGAACTATGGCTTGCCCAAGGTCATCCAGCAGCTGCAAGTGAAGGAGTGGGGAATCAAATCTGGTTCTCCCAGATTAGAGTCTGTGCACTTAACCACTACACTGGGCAACCTTTAGTGTCCTTACCAATCAAATCAGCTAGAGATGCCAATTCCAGCTTGGGAAATTCCTGTAGAACGAGAAGGGGAAGGAGTTCAACAGTGATGCTGTAGAATCTGCCTTCTAAAGCTGCCATTTGCTCCAGGGGATCTGGTCTCTGTAGCTGGGGGATCAGTTGTAACTCTGCTAGATGCCAGGGCCTGCCTGGAGGTTGGCAACTCTTAAGAGCATAGCTAGGACTAGAGGGAAGAGGATGGGAAAAGGTATCAGGGTAGGAACATTGTATGTGAAATGAGGATGGGTCTCCCTGGCCAAAGTGGCTTTATAGCTCCTCCAAGCTTTGCCCCCTGTGCCTCTATTCCTGGGAGTACATGGACATCACACCCTCCATCCACATCTGCCGTACAGTCACACTGGGACACACTGTGGGTGGGTGGGCTTTCCTGACTGTTAGCTACTTGGAGGACATTACCTCTTCTGTGACCTACCTGGAGATTTGGGGTGGTGCCTAGACAAAGTGGAGTATGGGGAGAGGAGGGAGCTAAGGTTGCCAAGTCAAAGACTTTTCCTTGCTATCTATAACACTCAAAGACTGGACTACCAATACTATTCTAAGTAGAGTGACTGCTTCTAAGCTGATTAGAAGACAAGAATAGCTCTGCCGGATCAGACCAGTGGTCCATCTAGTCCACCATCCTGTCTCATGCGGTGGCCAGCCAGTTACTCCTGAGGGTCAAGATCAGGGCATAGAGGCCAAAGCTTTAGCTGATTTTGCCTCCTGGATCTAACATTCAGAGGTTTACTGCCTCCCTTTAGTTATCATGACTAGTAGCTGCTGATAGACATACCCTCCTCAGGAAATTACTCTTAATGAGCCAGTCAGAGGGAAGCTTCTGGGACCCCTAACTGTGGACTCCAATTCCCAGGTGCAACAAGTCTTAAAGATACAGAGCAGTTTTACTAAACTGCAGTTAACACTGACTGGGGGCAGCACACATCACCTTACACTTACATGATTAAACTTCATTTGCCACATTGTTGCCCACTCACCCAATTTGTGGAGATCCAGGAGGATCTCTTCACAGTCAGCCTTCGTTGTCACCATCCTGAAGAATGTTTAGAAGGGAGTAACTCTGCTTAGAATTGCATGTCTCGTGATTTCAGTGCTTGGACCTTATTATACCTTGGTCTATTTCTAATCATGCAGTATTGCAGTTTTAGCTTAATTTATGCAAGAGGGGCAAAAGTCAAACCATGATGGAGAAATGAATACATTTGCTCTGACAGATGAATCTGTGGGAATTCTGAATGCATGGATCTGTGAAATCTAATGCTCAAACTCAACCAGTGACTGTCACAGAAAACCAGAACTTGAGTGTGAGCGATCAAGGATTATGCTCCAAATCTGAAATATCCTTAACAGAAAATATTAATTGCAAACTCACTGGGGGGGGGGGGATTCTTAGCAGCTGTGATTGCCTTGCTTGTTGTACAGCCTGGCTTAGTGGAATTTTGGGGTAACATTTTAGTAGCCTTCATTACATCCATCCACATTGTGATCAGTTTCCAAGCCCTGATGGTACACACTCTTAAAGAGTGGGGTTGGATTTGTCACAAGAGCCCCTTTCATATGGGCTCTTTGTGCTTTGGCTTCTGAAGACCGTGGCTCACTGGGAAAGCATTTGCTTCGCATGCAGAAAGTCACAGGTTCAGTCCCCAGCATCTCCAATTGAAAGGATCAATTAATAGATGATGTGAAAGACTGCTGTCAGTTGGAGTAGATAATACTGACCTTGAGGGATCAATGGTGTGATTCAGTATAAGGTAGCTTTATGTGTATACCTTAAGGATAAAGCATAACGACAACAAATACGTGGGAGCAAAACAGGTTTCAGAAAAACCATATTAGAGCTCTGTTAATTGTGGAAGGACAGCATTTTATCCTTAAGGTCAGGCCTGTGGCCACAGGGGCCCCACAAGTGTGACGCCCCATCCCAAATTTGCCATGCCCCTTCACCAATCAGCTGGAGCAGGAGGGGTCAGGAAGTCTGCTCCATGAGGTCAGGACTGGAGTCCTCAGAAGTGGGGCAGAGTCCAGGCTTGGGGCTTCAAGTACCCAGCTGGCCGCCTCCTGGGAGGAGGAGCCGGGTGGCCCCGACCCCAGAGGCTGAGACGCCACGGAAGCATGTAACACAGAGGTGTCGACTCGAACTTATTTGTCACAAGGGCCGGACCTGACATAAATGTCACTTTGTTGGGCCAGGCCACGGGTGCCATAAAATGTAATGCCAGGTATCGGAGGCATAAACTGTAGAAAGGACAGTGGCACGTAAGCTCCGAATGGGTGTATCCTCACTGCAAGGCCTCATGGGCTGGGAGGTGGGCGCAAAGGAAAACCCATTTGGGCAGACTGGAGAGCCAGAGGTGCAGCACTGGGCAGAAGCTCCCATGCTGCTTGACTGCTGCAGACAAGGTTGTTCTGCCATGCTGAAGCCCAGGGGGTTTTTGATAGAAAAATCCCAGCAGGAACTCATTAGCATAATAGGCCACACCCAACAGCAGAAGCTCATTAGCATATTAGGTCACACCCTGACAGCATAGCTCATTAGCATATTAGGCCACACCCCGTGTCTTCCCTTGGCTTGCCCGGGCGCCCCGCAGCTGCAGGGAGCCCGGGCAAGCCCCCCCCCCAGGCACCCCAGGCCATCCTTCTGTATCCATGCACACAGAGGTTTTGGCTGTAGTGGGCGTGGCCAACTCTGAAGCTTGCCGGAACTCCGTTCCTGCCCAAAAATAGCCCTGTGAAGCCACAATCGGAGTAGGTCTACCCATTCCCCCTCAAGCAATCTCCTGTTCCCTCCCTTGCACTAGTTGCTTGTGGGCCGCATAAGAGCCCTGGGTGGGCCACTTCCAGCCCCCAGGCCTTATGTTTGACACCCCTGATGTAACAGATCCACCTTCTTCCTTTCCTGGGTGGGGACAAAAATTCCATGCAAGGCATGGG